CATGACCATGTGATGTGCCCATAACCATGTGATGTGCCCATAACCATGTGATGTGCCCATAACCATGTGATGTGCCCATAACCATGTGATGTGCCCATAACCATGTGATGTGCCCATAACCATGTGATGTGCCCATAACCATGTGATGTGCCCATGACCATGTGATGTGCCCACGACCATGTGATGTGCCCATAACCATGTGATGTGCCCATAACCATGTGATGTGCCCATAACCATGTGATGTGCCCATAACCATGTGATGTGCCCATAACCATGTGATGTGCCCATAACCATGTGATGTGCCCATAACCATATGATGTGCCCATAACCATGTGATGTGCCCATAACCATGTGATGTGCCCATAACCATGTGATGTGCCCATAACCATGTGATGTGCCCATAACCATATGATGTGCCCATAACCATGTGATGTGCCCATAACCATGTGATGTGCCCATAACCATGTGATGTGCCCATAACCATATGATGTGCCCATAACCATGTGATGTGCCCATAACCATATGATGTGCCCATAACCATATGATGTGCCCATAACCATATGATGTGCCCATAACCATATGATGTGCCCATAACCATGTGATGTGCCCATAACCATATGATGTGCCCATAACCATGTGATGTGCCCATAACCATGTGATGTGCCCATAACCATATGATGTGCCCATAACCATGTGATGTGCCCATAACCATGTGATGTGCCCATAACCATATGATGTGCCCATAACCATGTGATGTGCCCATAACCATATGATGTGCCCATAACCATATGATGTGCCCATAACCATATGATGTGCCCATAACCATATGATGTGCCCATAACCATGTGATGTGCCCATAACCATATGATGTGCCCATAACCATGTGATGTGCCCATAACCATGTGATGTGCCCATAACCATATGATGTGCCCATAACCATGTGATGTGCCCATAACCATGTGATGTGCCCATAACCATATGATGTGCCCATAACCATGTGATGTGCCCATAACCATATGATGTGCCCATAACCATATGATGTGCCCATAACCATATGATGTGCCCATAACCATGTGATGTGCCCATAACCATATGATGTGCCCATAACCATATGATGTGCCCATAACCATATGATGTGCCCATAACCATATGATGTGCCCATAACCATGTGATGTGCCCATAACCATATGATGTGCCCATAACCATATGATGTGCCCATAACCATATGATGTGCCCATAACCATATGATGTGCCCATAACCATAATCCGCCATGTGCCTCTCTCACGCCCACTCCCGTTGCTCCTTTGCTTCCCTCGGCCACCAACCAACAGGCAGGTCAGAAGATCAAGGACGCTCTGACAGACCTGAGGCTTCACAAGGAGAAGTGGATGCCACACTACACATGTGCCATACCCATAATCCCCATCTGCCTCCCGCACACCCTCTCCCGTTGCTCCTTTGCTTCCCTCGGCCACCAACCAACAGGCAGGGCAGAAGATCAAGGACGCTCTGACGGACCTGAGGCTGCACAAGGAGAAGTGAGTGTTGCGTGGCCCATGCGTTGCCAATGCCCGTGCCATTGCGTATGCCGTGCCAGTGCCCATGCGCTGTCCCAATGTGACTGGCTCTACGCTTACTTTGTCCTGCCATTGGCCATGCCATAGCGCATTGATCTTGACCTTCCATCTGATGTTCCCATGCTCAAGGATGCAATGGCAGACCTGAGGCTGCACAGGGAAAAGTGAGTGCTGCACAGATGTGGATAGTGCCCAGAATGTTGTTGTCAAGTTCAAGCATACTATGTGTACACGCTTTATGATGTGGTTATATATATATACATATATATATATATATAAACGGAAACAATTCGGTTTCATCCAATTCATACCATCTGAGCTATCATCTGATATTCCAAAATGTATTCATCCTAAAAGTAAACCCACCATTCTCCATGCAGGATCTTCTTGTTTCCCTTTTCCTCTTTGTCCTTTCCGTCCCTCACAATCCCTTCTTTCCTTCCCTCCTCCCTCCCCCTATTCCCCCCAACCCAAATCCAGCTTTGACTCGGACTTAACTGACGAGGACAACAAGATGGACATCAAGGTAACGTGATTCGAGTTGACTCAGGAGCTGACTTTTAAGTTGACTCAAAAGTCAGCCTCTTCCCCCCAACCCAACCCAAATTCAGCTTTGACTCAGACTTTAACTGACGAGGATAACAAGATGGATATCAAGGTAACTCTTTTTTAGGCGGCCCATGGGCTGGGTTTTGAGTCGGCTGAAAAGTAAACCCCTCCACCCCAAAACCAAAATCAGCTTTGACTCGGACTTAACTGACAAGGATAACAAGATGGACATCAAGGTAACGTGACAGTTCCATGTGTTCCAAAAACTACCCCAAAAGACCTTTGCGGTGCCACAAACCCAGCTTTGACTCGGACTTAACTGACGAGGATAACAAGATGGATATCAAGGTAGAGTGTTTTCTCCTTCTACTCGAATCCCACAATCGTATGACGGCTTTCTGGGATGGGTACCAGTCCGAAAAGCCTCGCCACATTCTGCTGCTCAGGCACACCGCTGCACACCGCTGCACACTGCTGCACACTGCTGTTGTCCCGTTTCTTTCAACAGCCTCGCATGCCCTTCAGTCCAATTCGTCACCGATGTTGTGCATGTCCTTTGAGAATTCTCAAAGAACATTTTCAACAACCTCGCATGCCCTCTTCTTTAGTTCAATTCTTCACCGATGTTGCGCGTCCAATTCCCGCATGTCCTCGCATGTCCTCGCATGTCCTCGCATGTCCTCGCATGCCCTCGCATGTCCTCGCATGCCCTCTCTGTGCATGACGTTTTTTCTGGGATGGGTTCAAGTCTGTGAGGCGCTTTTGAGTTTTTTTAAAAGGTGTATGACCGCTTTCTGGGATGGATTCACGCCCTTGAAGCTGACTTTTGAGCCGACTCTAAAGGAAGCTGCGGCTCCCTCTGCTGCTGCTCAGGTACACCACTGTGTGACGTTCTCTCAACAGGCTCTCGTGTCCTTCTCCTCCCTCTAATGAGTGTTGCCCCTTCGCTGCAACGCATTTTGAGGCGCCTCAAAATCCGCGTGTAGTGAGGTGCATTTTGAGGCGCCTCAAAATCCGCGTGTAGTGAGGTGCATTTTGAGGCGCCTCAAAATCCGCGTGTAGTGAGGTGCATTTTGAGCCGACTCTAAAGGAAGCTGCGGCTCCCTCTGCTGCTGTTGCTCAGGTACACCATTGTGCTGCTGACCTTCTCTCAACAGGCTCTCGTGTCCTTCTCCTCCCTCTAATGAGTGTTGCCCCTTCGCTGCAACGCTCCCGCCCTCTCTCAGGTGCATGACGGCTTTCTGGACGGTTACAAGTCCGTGAAGCCGCGGCTCCTGCTGCTCACCGCTGTCCTTTTCTAACAAAAGCCTCGCGTGTTCTCCCCCTGGGTTCCAATCCCCCAGGTGCATGATGGCTTTCTGGACGGCTACAAGTCTGTGAAGCCGCGGCTCCTTCTGCTGCTCAAAGCTATTCTCGCATCTTCTAGCGAAAAGTGAGCCTTCTGAAAGATACACTCGCATCATGTCACAGGGCATACACTCGCATCATGTCACAGGGCACAGGCTCACAGCCTGGGGGGCGCTGTTGCAGCATTGATCCTTGTTCCCTCCCATTCAGTAACATTGATCCCACGCCATCATCCCACCATGGTGTCATGTCACCATCCCCACATCATGTGCTGTGCCATGTTCCGCACCACATCATGTGCTGTGCCATGTTCCGCACCACATCATGTGCTGTGCCACGTTCCGCACCACATCATGTGCTGTGCCACGTTCCGCACCACATCATGTGCTGTGCCACGTTCCGCACCACATCATGTGCTGTGCCACGCTCCGCACCACATCATGGTCGCGGGGCACTGCCTCGGTGGCGCTCTTGGAGCAAGGATCCTTCCTTGTTGCCTCCCACGCCAAGGATCCATGCTCCAAGAGCATGGGAGCAATGCATATGGATCCTTGTTGCCTCCCGTTCCACATGCATTGCTCCCACGCCATCATCCCATCCCATCATGTCATCGCCATGCCACCATGCCACCATCCCACCAGGTATCACGTCATGGTCACGGGTCACAGCCTGGAGGGCGCTCTCTCCACGCTCTCCTAACAATGCTACCATACCATGTGTCCCACCATACCACCAACCAACCCTCATCCCACTGTGATGCCACCAGGTATCACGTCATGGTCACGGGTCACAGCCTGGAGGGCGCTCTTGCCTTCCATCGGCATAGCCCATGTGCTGCTCCTTCTAACGATGCCACCAACCATCCATCCCACTATCCCATCATGCCCCACCAGGTATCACATCATGGTCACGGGGCACAGCCTGGGAGGTGCTCTCTCCACTCTCTTCACATACGACCTTGCCCAGTCCGACCTCAAGAAGTGAGTGTGGTGAAGGTGAAAAGTAAGAAAGGTGGTGTGCTGTGCGGTGCGGTGTGGAGCTCTGCGGTGCTCTTCACATACAACCTCGCCCAGTCCGACCTGAAGAAGTGAGTGTGATGCATGATGGTTAATATGATATGTCACACTGGGTTGCTCTCTCTCTCTCTCCACTCTCCACTCTCCACTCTCCGCACTCTTCACATACAATCTCACCTAGTCTGACCTCAAGCGAGGAAGGGTGAACATGATATGCGACAAGGTGTGTTGTCAATGTGTGATGTCAAAAGGAGTGAGTGGCCTTTTCTCTAAGATTAAAACGTACATAATGTGTACACATATACATAAGCCAATATGTGAAAAATATATATAGCTGCTCAAGTATATGATAGGTGTATATGTCTTCATACATATGCTACCGTTCACCCCGTGTGGCTTGTGAGGTTAACCCTTCTACAACCTTGTACAGCTTCGGCTCTCCTCGTGTGGCTTGTGAGGAGTCTAAAATGCAACCCTCCCCCATGTTTGCGTCGCTTGTCACCACCACAGGCAGCACGGATTCACCCTCTCTCTCTACAACTTCGGCTCTCCTCGTGTGGGCAACCATGCCTTTGCTGCTCGCTTCAACCAGGTGTGTGCTGTGCTTCTCACTGGGCAAGCATAAGAGCTGCAGTAAATGTGTGTGTCAGAGGTCGATTTTGCACAAGGTCAAAGAAGCCTTCACCCTCTCTCTCTACAACTTCGGCTCTCCTCGTGTGGGCAACCATGCCTTTGCTGCTCGCTTCAACCAGGTGCGTATCGTTTAGCTGTCAGGTCCCTTCCCTCTTGGCGTCCCCATCGAGAGCAGTGAATTGCCACTGGTGGTACTGACAGTTAGCACGTTGCCAAACGACCTTAACATGGAGCTAGGCGTGCCCGATAAGTTTCATCCCAACCCATCCCAACCCAACCCAACCCAACCAGCTGGTGGGAGACAGCTGGCGCTTCGCCAATGACCTGGACATGGTGTCGTGCAAGCCATATAAGTTTCATCCCAACCCATCCCGACGCATCCCAACCCATCCCAACCCATCCCAACCAGCTGGTGGGTGACAGCTGGCGCATTGCGAATGACCATGACATAGTGCCACGTGTCCCCTACGTGTTCTACAAGCACTGTCCGCCCCATAATACTCTACCTGTCCCTCCCCTCCCCCCCTCCTCTCTTTTCTATTCCAACCCATCTCAACCCCTCCCAACCAGCTTGTGGGTGACAGCTGGCGCATCGCCAATGACCATGATATAGTGCCGCGTGTCCCCTACGTGTTCTACAAGCACGTGGCCACTGGGGTGGTGCTTCGACCCGACTCGCAGAAGTTGGAAAAGGTGGGTGGGAGTGGAGTGAGTAGCACAGCTGTCCGTGCATGGGTGTGCTGGTGCCGCATGTGCCGCATGTGCCGTACTGACTTTTGAGTCGACTCAAAAGTCATGGGTGTGCTGGTGCCGCATGTGTCGTATGTGCTCTACAAGCATGTGGCCACGGGGGGTGGTGCTGTGAACCGCATTGCCAACGACCATGACATAGTGTCTCGTGTCCCCTGTATGTTCTACAAGCACGTGGCCACGGGCGTGGTGCTCTGGCCCGACTCGCAGGAACTAGACAAGGTGGGTGGGAGTGAGGCAGGCAGTGAGGAGAGGAAGGAAGTTACAGAGTGAGTGGCGTGAGTGAGGAGAGAGCATTGTGTCAGGGAAAAGGCCGAATCTTGCTTCATGCGAGAGTATTAAGTAGAGATCTAACAACTTGAGTACATTAATAACTATTATGTACTTTCGTACTTTAACCCGTTTCGTTTCCCCATCCCAGCCTTCTCCTCTCCCCGGCTACTCTGCTTTGGAACGTCTCAAAACAGCTTTATTATCCCACGGCTACTCCGCCCATGCTGCTCCTCATGGTTACACCGTTCTGACTGGCCTTCCCTGTGCCGTGGAACAATGTACCTGATTTCTCAAGATGCCCACCCCTAAAAACGGCTCAGTACATTTGTGTGTCGTCACTACTGCCCCTTGTGATTTTCTAAGGCGCCTAAAAAATCACCTCATTTTTTAGGAGCCTAAAGGATCACCTCAATGTGTGTCGTCACTACTCCAACATGCCCCCCAGCATGCCCTCCACTTGCCCATTGTCCCTCAGGATGCTCTCTCCACTTACCCAGCATGCTCTCTCCTCAGGATGCCCCTGTTGTGCGCCGTACTCTCCTCAGGATATCCATTCCCCCTACTCAATGCCATTGTGCGCCGTCACTACTCTCACTTGCCCCTCACTTGCCCCCTCCCTTTTGCCAATTGTCCCTCAGGATGCCCTCCTTAAGAAACGACTCGATACCATCACAACAGTTAGCTTCCTGGTATGCTTTTGAAAATCTTCCTCTTGCTAGCAAACACTATCCAATCACCCCTCACCTCGCTTCTTTCCTTCACGTCTTCTAGCTCCGCTGGTCCCTCCTCATTGTTGCCCCAGCCCTCCTCTTTTATGTTTGCTGAGAAGTCCTCTCGGCCCTCCTCTCCATGTTTGTTGCCTATCGTACCCCATATAAACTCGCTCGCTTTATCCCACAGAGCGAGCAGCCAAAGCTGCTGTTCGACGGTGCCGGCGCCAGCAAGCACTCGCAGCCCGCATACTTCCTCTCGCTGCTCAAGGTGAGCTGGTTGGCGGTGGTGTGTCGGTGGTGGAGTGCTGGGGTGAAGGTGGGTTAAGACACAAAGAGTCTGAAAGCGCCAGCAAGCACTCGCAGCCCGCATACTTCCTCTCGCTGCTCAAGGTGAGCTGGTTGGCGGTGGTGTGTCGGTGGTGGAGTGCTGGGGTGAAGGTGGGTTAAGACACAAAGAGTCTGAAAGCGCCAGCAAGCACTCGCAGCCCGCATACTTCCTCTCGCTGCTCAAGGTGAGCTGGTTGGCGGTGGTGTGTCGGTGGTGGAGTGCTGGGGTGAAGGTGGGTTAAGACACAAAGAGTCTGAAAGCGCCAGCAAGCACTCGCAGCCCCCATACTTCCTCTCGCTGCTCAAGGTGAGCTGGTTGGCGGTGGTGTGTCGGTGGTGGAGTGCTGGGGTGAAGGTGGGTTAAGACACAAAGAGTCTGAAAGCGCCAGCAAGCACTCGCAGCCCGCATACTTCCTCTCGCTGCTCAAGGTGAGCTGGTTGGCGGTGGTGTGTCGGTGGTGGAGTGCTGGGGTGAAGGTGGGTTAAGACACAAAGAGTCTGAAAGCGCCAGCAAGCACTCGCAGCCCCCATGCTTCCTCTCGCTGCTCAAGGTGAGCTGGTTGGCGGTGGTGTGTCGGTGGTGGAGTGCTGGGGTGAAGGTGGGTTAAGACACAAAGAGTCTGAAAGCGCCAGCAAGCACTCGCAGCCCGCATACTTCCTCTCGCTGCTCAAGGTGAGCTGGTTGGCGGTGGTGTGTCGGTGGTGGAGTGCTGGGGTGAAGGTGGGTTAAGACACAAAGAGTCTGAAAGCGCCAGCAAGCACTCGCAGCCCGCATACTTCCTCTCGCTGCTCAAGGTGAGCTGGTTGGCGGTGGTGTGTCGGTGGTGGAGTGCTGGGGTGAAGGTGGGTTAAGACACAAAGAGTCTGAAAGCGCCAGCAAGCACTCGCAGCCCGCATACTTCCTCTCGCTGCTCAAGGTGAGCTGGTTGGCGGTGGTGTGTCGGTGGTGGAGTGCTGGGGTGAAGGTGGGTTAAGACACAAAGAGTCTGAAAGCGCCAGCAAGCACTCGCAGCCCGCATACTTCCTCTCGCTGCTCAAGGTGAGCTGGTTGGCGGTGGTGAGCTGGGTTGAAGGTGGGTTAAGACGCGGAGAGTCTGAAAGCCTTTGCACGCACTTACAACCGGCTTACTTCCTCTCGCTGCTCAAGGTGAGCTGATGGCGCAGTGGTGATCCTGAAAGTGTGGAATAAATATTTTGAGACGTCTCAATTCAAATCCCCCTGTTGCTCTCACAGCCGGCTTACTTAGTCGTCCCAATCCAATCCAATCTCCCTCCTACTCCCATCCCGTCCCACCCATTGCCATGCTCCCAGCAAGTGCGCTTCAACCAGAACAAGAAATGACTGCAGCAGTGACATGCCACATCCCATGGCATCTCATGACATGACATGACATGACATGACATGACATGACATGACATGACACAACACATGACGCCCTTGACATGCGAAGTAGTCGATACAAATCTTATTACCATCCCATGGCATCTTGTGCTGGTTGGGTTACCCTTTGGAGGATGTGGATGAGGGCGGTGTAATGTGTTGGGGTTTATTTTCTTTAGTAGCCTGGTGCATGCTTTTGGTCATTTTGTCTTTTCTGCAAGTCTGGCTTGCTTGCCAAAACCAGAACGCCCATGCGGCTTTTTCCTGATGGACTGTCAGGTGGAGGCTAGCAGGACAGTAGAACTCACCAGAAACGAAGGCCAATGAAGCACATGTTACTGGTACGGTATGTGTTGTGCTGCGACAGTCTCAGACCTACAGCTTACGGAGCATGATTGCAGTTGCAGCACATGCAAATGTATTTTTCACAAACCACACCCCACCACACCTCACACTAGCCCCGATACCATCACACCACACGACCCCAAAACCAAATGCACACTCAAACGTCCCCATCCTCCTGAGTTTTTCCTAACCTAGCAACAGGGCTTTCCCCCAAAATAGGTGTCATGTACACTGCACCTGCGCCCCCTGCAAACCCTAACAGATTCTTAATCAACGGTTCAAGATCAGCCGTCCGATCTACCACAGGGAACACCCCAAATGCCAGCAGCAATAACAGCCAGAGGGGTGAGAAAATGGCCACCCATTGCCAGGAAGCTTCCACTTGGCCTTGGGGTGGGAGCCGCGCAGAAAAGCCAAAAACTGCACCTGCAGCTACGGAGACGCCGAGCGTGAGGAAGTATAGGTCGTCTACCAGGCCTGGGACCTTGAGGCAGCCGTTAGGTTCGGCAAGGCAGGTTTGGATGGCGTCTACGGAGCGAGTGAGAGCTTCGGACTCGCCCTCTTGCCGGACGAAGAACTGATTGCCGTACCTGACGTGGAGGTACGGGTTCGGGACACAAGGGTTGGACGAGTGAAAGGAGGAGAGGTTTCTAAGGAAAGCAGGTAATTAAGCAATGCAAGTGAAAAGAAGGTTGACAGGTGAACGGAAGGATGAGAGGGGAGGCAGAGGCGCGGCAGAAGGGATGTGGAGAGAGGTGGAGAAAATGGATGAGAGGGAGATGGAGGGGAGGAGGTGGAGGGGGTAAGAGCATGTGGTGGTCCCAGATGGGCATGTGAAGAACTGGCAGGGCAGCTTGGATAGAACAGCCTTGCTGCTACACCCAGATGGTAACTACAATGAGAAGCGCCTTGTAGTGTAGTACCAGTTCGGTATGTATATGTACCAGTTTATAAAAATATATGTAACATATATGCATTAACGCACCTTGACTGTAGCTCCTTGAAGAACTGGTAGGGCAGCTTGGACCGCACAGCCTCTCTGATGGCAACTGAAATGTGAACCTTGTACAGGAAACTGAGACACCTTAAAAGGGGAATTACCTGGATTGCAGCTCTGTGAAGAACTGGTAGGGCAGCTTGGACCGCACAGCCTCTCCAATGCTGAAGCTGAGGATGTTGGGTGATGCCACGTCAGCCACCACGATCACCGTCCGATCCGACGGCTGCAACACGAGCGGAGAAAAATGAGAGAATTAAAGGTATTGATGAGCTAAGGAGTTCAGTTGCGAGACTTGCTAAATGAGCGACCAGAGGTGTGATGTGAGCAGCAAAGGGGAGGGGCACCTCTAAGTATGATGAAAATCTCGCCATGAGTTGGAGATGTGAGCAACGAGGGGAGAGCGGCATGACTTGGAAAAACAAAACACAGAGTTTGAGCATGGAAGATTCGCCACCTCTAATATCTGTTTTTTTTTTTTTTTTTTTTTTCATAAAAGAAGCTCCCAGGCCCTCAGGCTCATCCTCGTTATTACTTAAGCGCTGCTCTCTTGAAGTCACAATGTCGCGCTCCTGATTTATATCCTCCAAGGTTCACAACTTTCCAGAGTTCAATGGCGACACCATTCCCAGTCACTTGGTTCCTACAACCTCCCATTCCCCAGCAGTCTTCCCTCACACCTCTCACTCTCACTCTCTCTTGTTCTCGTAAACTCTTATGCTCCTACCGTATTACCCCTTTACCCTCAACCATGTTTCAATCACCCAATCAAGGTCGCTACTTTTAGCTGATACAACCCACTTCCTTTCACACAATCACTCAATACCCCACAAATTCCGCTCTTCATTCCTCCCACCCCTCCACCCCCCACCCCCCCACCCTTCCCCCCTTTTCCCCCTCTTCCAGCCTCTCACCTGCCACAAGTCGCGGATCTGTTTGCCATCTAAACCGCTCTCCACCCCCGTACCGCGTCGCCACGCGGATCCGCCACCCGTCGCGCGACTCCAGATCCGACAGCTGTCGCAGCATCGCGCCGCGCTGGCTTTCCGTCAGCAGACGCGCTCCGTCCAGCACCTTGGGAGCTTCCGCCGTCTCCGCCGCCGCCGTTTCCGCAGCGTCCGTCGTTTCTAGGATGTCAGTGGATGTGACCGTTAAGAGCGGCGCGGTTCGCAGTTGAGAAGCCGCGACTCGCGCAAGAAACGGAATGCCGTTTTCCTGGCGCGACGCGTCGCTTGAGCGTCGAATCTCCTGCGGAAGCGGAGCGCTTGCCACGTCAACTGCCACGTCATCAGCCGCTACCGCGGGCGAGCTGCTGACGAGGAGTGCGACGGAGGCGATTAAAGAGGCCTGGGCTGCGACGGATATCGACCGAGTCGCGAAGTTCTCGACGGCTGCGGTTAGCGCGTTGGTACCAGCGGCACCGCCATTGACAACTTTTACTAATCTCGTAACAGCAGCAGCAATCCGCGGATGGCGCTGATACACCAGCCGTCGCGGCTGAGTGAAGGTTAAAGCAGCGGTTTAAGCGGCGATGGAAGAGGCGGAGGGGAGAAGATGACTGGTGGGAGAGACGCAGGGTGAGGCTGGCATTACAGAGGGTGGACAATCCTCCTTGTGAGCTGCACTGAACTGTCGCCGCCATGACACACGGCGCGACTAGCCGGCGCGGGTATCAAGCGATTCTGTTGCGAAGTTAGCGAAGACGGTATCGCCGACAAAGCCTTGTAGTACTGATCAGTACGAAAACCCGCGAAAGCTAGCCGTGTTCCCAGGGGAAGGATGTGTTTCAGCAATCGCGTATATATTCAGGAAATGGTACGTAATATATACATATTCACGGATCGCGCATTTAGTGAGGTGGCTGAAGAAGCTGGTATCAGCTAATCTCCACCACTCATGAGCCTGACGACGACAACCCATTTCCGCGGCTGGTTTAGTCCGCACCGACGAGCGAAGCTTCTGCAGCAGCAGCGCGTTGTAGCTGCTAACGTGTCACGCGGCTGGGGAAACACAAACGGAAGTGAGCAGCGAGAGAGGGAGTAAGGAGCGGAAATGACGTGGATTCGGAAGGCGCACGCGAAGTTTAGTGAGCAAGTAAATAAGCGAGCAGTGGCCGCGGGAATCCCTGCTGAGCAGGACTCAGGGTGTATTCTGACGACAGGCCGGTCGACCAAGAAGCACCACTGACCTTTCAAGCCAGACTTGAGCTGTTAGGCAG